CTCAAGGCAGTGGGTTGGTTGAAGGTTTGCTTGTGAGAACCCGCCCGGAGCCTTTGGCTCAATAGCCTAACCCAAGTGGCTGGAGGAGCAAATCCAGCTCGGGAATATGATTGCAGAGACACATTGGGATCTGCTTGAGGTTCGTCAAACGCAGGTTTTGAGTTATTGCATCTATTCGTATAAGATACAACTGCGACCACGCCCAGACGCAGGTGGGTTTTGGCAGGTTTGCACCGCTTTGACCAGAGGCTGCCTGGCTTTAGACAAGCAGTAGCAAACCATTGAACACCCGGAGGTGCCGTTCCAACGCCAGAGACAATGCGTGGCGCTAGTGTTATACGCCAATCTAGCTGAGAGCTATTAATCTGTAGACCTGTTGTCTCCCATGGCTAGGTTTTACGGGAAGAGGACCATCGACCACTTCCTAACCTCCGCATAGGATGAACTAGGATCCTGACAGGGCGACCACAACTGACAGGAGAACGACTCGGGTCTCAGGCAAAGCTTTCGACTAAAGGTACACTCGAAGGGCAGCGGGTCTAGCACATGGTCAGTTAGCTGATTCATGCGGATTGGTGTCCTGGATCTTAGCAGGTAGAATGGCGAAACCCAACTCCCACCCAGTGCTCACCACGAGGATGCGTCCAGGACATGAGCCAATGGCGCAATAGTAGCAGCAGTGCTTATATCATCTGTCAGGATCTAGTCACCACCAGCCTCAGCGCACCATAGGCTCTCCTGCCGATCCCTTGTGGTTCCATTAATCACACACGTTCCACTTAGTAATGGGTGCAATGAATCCCGGTGTTTCTATTTTCTTACCATTGGATTAATCCAATAGTTTCGCTGAGGTGGCTGTGTTAAATTGTTGGCGCTGGGAATACACAGCATCCTTTTGTTGATAACACTAGGCCGAATTATTTACAGTCAGGTGCCAGTGGGCTGGCAGAACCATAGACTATATTCTATCAGCGCTTTCCACTGAACAACTGGATTCCAGGAACACGGGATCGAAGGATAATCACTCGTATTCATAAGGGAGGTAGTCGCACCGACCCAATCAATTAGCGTACGATAACACTGCTTCCTTTGATTGCTAAACCTATGTAACTAACCATTGCAAATGCACCGATGCGCTATCTGGAAAACAACAGCATTACATCACCGGACCAATACGGCTTTTGACCAAACCGCTCATGCAACACGAACCTGCTAATTGCACGCCATTGCTGGACTGAAGCAGTTAGTTTTGAAGCATAAGTCGGTGGCATTTACTCGGACTTCTCAAAAGCGCTCGGTCACTTTAACCACGGATGTTTTCACCATAAACTATGATAATATTGGCCGACTCCTGCGTTAGACAAGCCATTTCCTGCACGAACGTTGGTTGGAGGTGGGTTTACGAGAATCCCTCTCCGACGCAATTGAAGTGGAGTGCGGTGTGACCAAAGGCATAGTGCTTAGGCCTCGACTAATTTTTGTTTTCCATAAAGAGTATAGCGAGGGCAATTGCTCTCGATTTCCATTTCGTCGCTGATGTCATCAAGATATGGCGATTGATTATGGAACTGGAAGACCAAGAAGAGCTCCAGTTTGACCACAACACCATTTCGAACTGGTCAACTCAGAAGAACCCAAACCACATTTGCCGTCCGCTGCTGGAATTGTACCACAACACTAAACTAAGAGGCCACCCTCTGGAACTGACAATTCAGTATAACCGGCTTGAATGCCGTAGAAATTTCTTTCCATTCCGCGTATGCCAGCCTTGGAACGCCCTCCCTAATTATGTCGTCTCTGCTCCTAATCTGGCGTGTTGACGTGTTGACGATGCATTGTCTCACATTTCCTTTTATGTCTTGTTAGCTAGGGGCTACAAAACGCAATCAAACGGTGTCTTGCCAAACGCCTAACCAATGGATTTATGGATTTATACGTTTAATACGCGTACATCACCGCTATTCCATCTAAGTCTATGGTGAGTCCACCACAACGCTTTTCACTTTATTAGGCAATTGATTTTCGCAATCATTTCCATCCCACGGAACTTATTAAGCGATGCTTTTTTACCCGTAGTAAACTACTGTTCCATTATTCCAATGTAGACAAATGTCGCGCTGTTCGCTTACAACCTAGGCATGACTAAGTGTACCGGCTCGGGTCACACAGACTACAAACAAATTTTTAGGAACGCGACCTAGTTGTGCACATTTATCTTGACCATAGTTATTCAAATCAGTCAGAGGCTGCTGTAAAATAAGTGACCATCACGTCGGCCTGCTGCGCGGTGTACTCGTGATCAATAACCAATAAATATCCCCATGGTGCACAAATTCTACTTGCACCCACACGTTGAATACGCAACCCAAGTTTGACAACCTTGGTTGAAGCGCGACCTGGAGTTGCTGTAATCACCACAGCGTAGGGCTACACTGAATGTCAAGTGTCCCCGAAATCTGTTTTACCGAAAAGACAGAATTCCCCAGAAGTTTGCAACGGACGTTATAGAATGTTGTGCGGTGATCTCAAATTTGCGCAAGGAATATCGTGTGATCCTCATCATGTATTACTTCACTCGCTGAAATTCAGCTATAACAAATTTCAGAAACAGATTTCGAAACAGTGTGAACAATGCAGCCGTCTGTAAAACCCGCAGAATTATATCTTTGAGTTTGCCAACATTTGCATACTCTATTTAAAAAACAAACGTTTCCTCGCTCACCTCAGATAAATACCAAAAAACCAAATAGATGATGCTGTTGTCTCCCATTAAATTGTTGCCTAAACTATTCTGTTTGGAATGCATTAATTATGTCTTTAAGCCGGATGTAGAAGTCACGTGAGCCCAAGGAGACGATACATAAGCGAGCTTTAAATGCTTCCGTGTTTCCTTGTTTGTTGCGTACAATTCTCAATTACATTACCATTATCCAACGGCACATGCACTCGAGAGACATTCAAATAGACGACTCACACGTCATTTGCTATTGCGGTTTTACTCCTACCATCCTGTTGTACTTGTGAAGTGACTGCTATTTTAGCCGTGATACAGTATTCTTCATTGTTCTTTTATTGCTGGGTTTCGCGCCGCAAAACCAATAATGAACTGCAGTGAATTGATGCGCACCGTGTGTGTGAGACCGAGCGCAAGTTGATGCAACGTACCACCATTAAAACCACATCAACGTGATTATAATGTCTTGCTAATTGGTTGACGATTTGAACGGAGTCTCATCAATTTATCTCATATGCGTTGAGCCAAGTTGAAGTCAAATTTCTCAGGACCAGTGATACACAGACTTCGATGGAATCTGCTTTAAAGCAGTGCTTTCTTGACGCCAGCAGCTTATTAAATGTAGAAAACGTGTATTCTCTCCTCAATTACCATGTTATGCGGCATGACCTTAATATGAACACATAGGGCTATACCAGTTACGGTTCCAACAATTGCTTGTTGAAGCTGACGGATGCCACAGAATTCAATGATTATAGTAGCTATGTCGGATTACTCATAACTATTCCAGAGAAATTTGCCAACACCTGGAATCGCTAAATCATCGACAGGTACCGATTTTTATAAAGGTCTTCATTCCAATTTAAATCAGCAAATCCCACCTGTACCTGCCAGAAACAAGAAAAATGGATGTATTTAGCATACCCATCGAAGTGGTGTACGTGTTGAAACGGTCTGTTTCGGTATCGAGTCGTGCTGCATGGCTAGGTCTAAATAAACTAAGGAATGTTAGCATCGGATTATTCACACTCGATCGTTTTTGAGAACTTTGAACCAGCACGTAGATTTTACATCCATTCGGGTCAACATAGGTTTCGATGATTTTCTAAAGTAACAAGATGTGTATTCCCATGTATTTTTGTCACCTTGTACTTACTCATCGATTAAGCCACCTAAAGAGGTCGTAGCCCAAACTTGAAGGAATGCACATCATTGTTTTCCAGAGATATAAGAGCTCTTGAAGCTGTGTCCGACAGAGCTTCAGGCCATCTCCATGGAAAAATGAACTAGCTCCATTGGATTCCCTCTTACATCTTACTTTGGTGCTCATATACAGTGCGTACAAGAAGCAAAATACCCGGTCCCTTCCACTCTGGGTACCATCACGAACCTTATAGTGAACAAAATATGTTTCGTCAAAACAGTTTGTTGTCGGAAAACAAAGAGAGGATTCTGAGTCTCAACCCAGTAACAAGAAATATTTTTCACAATACGACATATCCAAAGGCAGGCTAACCGGATGAATTCATGCAGCAAATACGGTCATTTATTTTACAATTTTCTCTATGTAATTGCGATGACCCAATGACATACGCACTCAGCTTCTCAGCTGGAAGTGCCCTTTACACTGAAGCTACATTCATTAAAACATGCAAAGAGCGATGGCAACCCAAATGCGCCCAATTAATTTCACCCCTATTACTAAACGATAATGCTGTTGAACTGCTGAAACGCCTCCATAGCTTAGCCAAATTTATTGTGTATATTGGTGATCAATCGGTATTCTTGAAGGATACCGCATGCTGACATCTGGCTTCGACATTTGGCACGCTATTGTCGGCCCACTGTGCTAAGTTAAAGTTTCCCTATTTTAACCAGATTCTACAGACGATATGTACAGAGGTTATAACACAAGCGCTGCAAACCATACAGCAGATAAGGATCTCATTCCCACATGTGAAGATGCTGCACCGTAGCAGATTAGCATGAATGGTTACCAACTGCCTTGTGGTTTGGCAACATTAAAGTACAACCTTTTATCCAGGTTAGCAATTTGTTACAACTGTTTATTTACTTGTGGGGCTTTTTCATCTAACCTACGAATTAAGTAATATTGGTTGTCAGCTACACGGCAATGTTCACCTCACCCTAGTTAACGAGAACACAGGTATGTGAACGATTCACCCCTGGTATGTTTCTTTTAGCAATGTAACCACTGCAACTATTCTTCCTTCACGTTTATTCCTCTTGGGTTCTCCCTAAACAGATACAGTCCACCGTATTCAAACATGTGCTGGAAGAATTTCAACACATATCTTCAGAAGCTTTCATTGTCAACCTGGATCGCTATAGCATCTGCTCCAAGTGGTCCAAGTGTGAGCGACACAAGTGTGTTCAAAATCGTTATCGAGAGTGCGTCGACGATCGTTGGATGAAAATTACTCGCAATAAATACGGGAAAACAAACTGCACGACTAGGTTAAAAATGGAAGTACGCACGTGCCAAAATATGGTGCAATGTACCCCACCTGGTAAGCGTTCGAATAATATGAACTTCGAACAAATAAATCCCGTTAAAATTGGACTTATGAATGGTTGGAGTGGTATAACTGTGAATGAAATTGAGCCTGCCATTTATAAATGTCTCCTTATAACTAAATGTGTTATTACGGGTTTGTAAATGGCAGTGTAATTCAATTGCCTAGTCGCACCCAAATAATGTGCGCTATTCAATCTCGTTGTAAGACAGACGCGATTACGTACTCACATTTGCAGTCAGTATCCTATGATTTATATCTACATGCTAGACGATGGTGAGTATGTAAAGCCCAGTATCTCTTATCAAATTGTGTCCACGACATCTTACCGTTGTTCCACGGTTACTGCGCTTGAGGTTGTAAAATTTTGCTGGTTTTGCTTACCAATTGAAGAGGAAGGAAAATCAACCACGAATGTCCAAAGTCAACTAGAAAAAACTACTCTAAATGGCACTTGTCAAACATACACAATGTAAGTTTGTAAGTTTGCAAAAAAAAGCATCATTCAACCCTGTCATTTTTGTGGCAAGCTGGATAGAAATGTCAGACCAAATCATCTACTTTCCCGCTGCCACTCGATTTCCTTTAATTGCAAACGTTGGACATCGGCATCCTAACATACTTCCGGTTCCTCTTTGATGTTGGCAAAAGCACTGCTTGTGATTCGCTTAACGGTTCGTGCATACGAAGGTATTTGATAATACCTGCATGGTAAAAGTATAGTTTTCTTAAAACGATTTGATAAGCCTGCTGCGCTGTCAACTGTGCAAACGAGGTCAAGCATAATAGTCATGTTATTTTACAGTATCACACGCGAATGCAATACACATTCTGACTCAGTAAATGTTTCGATAGTTTCCCAGAGCAAATACAATCTTAACAAAGCCATTTCCCTACCTGGATCACTCAGATTGGCCACCAAATACTTGTGCTTATCCCTTCATTCAGCATTGCTAGCAAACTGTAGTGTTCGACCAGAAGATATGGGAGCCGCAGCAAGTCCACTGGTTCGTTCAAGCATCAAGCCAATCATTTGGCCGTGGGTTGTGAGTTTATTCATTGTTGTTATATACTATGCGCGTACCTTTTTACCCCCAGTTAAAACACTTCATACATGATCGTGCCAATGGGGGTTAACCTGACCATTGAACTCGGAGTGCAAACAGAAACAAGCTAAAGTGCACATGTTAGCAAACGGCAACTTATTTATTGTACACAGCTAAGGTGAATGAAAAGCTATGTTGTACCAAATAATAATCGATTTATTAGCGCACATTTGAGCCCCGATCAAATGAAACAGTGCAACATTGGTTGGATATGGAGAAAAACTCAAGATTTGACAGGTCCGGTGGGGAGGTCTGTGTGAATTACGTAACTTCGACTAAAAGTTACAATAAAGGGAAACAAGAATCTGTGGACTAACCATACTATCCACGTAAGCATATGTGTACACGTTTATCCAGTTTTCTTGGACTTGATGAGCCCAAGGTGGACTTTTGTCTCCACGCCACTGGATGGCCAGCATTCAAATCAAGAGACGCAAATGAATAATGAACAATGAGTTTTCACGTGTGAGAATCATATGCTTGACAAATCTCCTAGAATGACAGGAGTGAAAATTAAAATTAAAAGGATCAATGAATAAGTAAATCTTCATAGTTCACCTAAGAAATTTGTTTTTAATTAGATTTATATGATATTTTAACATTTAGATCACATTATGCCCGATGGGAAGTAGAGGAACATACGCCCGTCATCCGTCTGATTAAAGACTGTTATTCTGACGATATGAAGATGGCAACGATTGGAAGTGCATTGCTTCTTTGTTACATTTGACTGTGAAGATATGTAGGAGCTGTATTAGAACATCCTAATTCAATGAGCCGACAAGAGACCGTAGCGTGTAGCGTCGAAGTGTCTGTCAGGTAGTCCCGGGGATTATTCGGTGGAATGGGCGGAATCGAAGCACGCGATTACCTTGGATACTCCTCCGTTATGACTGAAGGTGGAGTTCGTGGTGGACGTGAGCGTCAGCACAGTCGCTCGCTACCTAGACGTTCGTTTCATAACAAAAAAGAAATTGCATGCAATAACGGAATCAATGCATACGATGGATAGCAAAATGCTATCCATCAAGGAGCACGTTCTTGGTCTCGTTGCAGCATTTTGTGATATTCCCGACTACCGATCGCCTGCCTTGTTCGCATCCGCAAAAGCAAGAAATTTCTTATGATTACAAGCACTAAGACGCTGATGAATACCGAAGTAAGCAGGGCCCCAACACTGACCCTTGTGGAACACCAGAGTCGACGTCGATAAGATCAGATAATGTGTTCCGAACCCAAATGTTTAGGCGCCGCTGGAGGAGAATATTTGTGATCCATCCAAGAACAAGTCACCTATTGCCTTACGTTTGATATTTTGTTGAAGAATTCGATCATCTAAGCAGTCGTCTGCTTTAGGTATTTGGGATACATGACATCATGTTCGGTCCCGCTGTTGGCAGTTTGGGTGCAACGGCCACCCTCAATCAGTAGATTGGTTTTACATGACCGACGCTGTAGGAACCGGGGCGGCTCCTGTGTTATGCTGTTAGATCTTTTTAGATAGCCCATCAGTGCCTCAAAAATGGTCTACTCTATCACCTTTGATAGCACGGGGTGTTGCTGTGCTTTCCTTGTATACGATCTTTCGTTAAATAAGCCAGATATTTTTCTAGTTCAATAGCTGATAAATTGAAGGCTAGCCGCCGGAACTTAAAAGGTTGAACAGACGGTCACATGGCTTTAATGCCAACATATTGTAATGCTCCGAGAATTTTCCAAATATAATGGGCCGTAACCTTGCAGATAAAACGATGCTTAAATTGGAAAGCACTAGTTTGGCAGCGTTATGTCCCTCAGCAAGTCATTTATGCTTGTGGATAGCATGATTAATTGAGTCGTAAATACGATATTCGCTAAGTTTTGCTTTGGTAGTTTTGGGTTAGGTAATAACCTAGTCGTCATGTTCTAGTCACGTGACTGAACAGTTACAGATGTTTTGACACATGTCACAGGTTTGGTGCCCCTGAGTTTACGTCTCTGTCCACTATATTACGTAATTCATGTAAAGTCAATTTAAATAACTATAAGCATTGTCCGCCCACGTTGATGCATTTCTATTACTTCACACAAAACTGCGAAATATATTACAACAAACCATCAATGAAAACTAACCATTGACAGCAGTACAAGGAAAAGCTTGTTTCTAATCGTTTTTCTCCTCCACAGCTGCTTAAGCAAGGAAGTAGAAATCAGTTATTTGTAAATAGTTTGTCTCAGTGGCGCCACACAGATCAAAACAGAGGACACCAGAGTCCGTGAGATGTTTGCTTAGGGCTGACAAGTCTTCATACGTGAAACCCAAAAAATCAGTTGAAATACTTTAAATTTGCCTTTCTACTATTATCTGATGAGCGATTCTATTGCTTAACAGTTTTAGACGGTATCTTTATCAGCGCAACATAGTTGAACTTAGTGCATAACTTGAGGTGAATATTCACTATATATTGGTTGAAATTATCAAGGGTTGCGCGCTTGTAATTAGCAAACAGCTTGCTTTTCCAGTTGGAACAAACTAGGTGCGCATGGGTCCAGTGGATATCTTCCCTGAACTGGATGAGCCCGTGATCTTAATGAACCTTGTGTCACCTTTATTGTCGTTTCGGGTGAGAACGTTACGGATCTTTCTAACTTGGATGTGACACTGAAGCAAGGTGCTCTTCAACATTTGTAGCTCCAACGGCGCTGTTTTCAGAGCTATAGGAATGTACCAACTAGGAGAGTTATGCAATTACACTGCTAGATTAGTTTATATCCAATAGACGACAGCTTAATGATGTTGTTGACTACGGCGAGGGCTTTGAACCGAATTTGCCACAACTATCATTAAATATTTTGATAACGCCTCTACTAGAACATTGTAGTTCTCTTAGGCGGTTGCAACTTAGCTTAATGAGTCCAACATTCATGTGCGCATGCAACCAAAGTTTTGCAACATCACTATAAGTGCATTGAGAAACTCTCTTCACCGTAAAATATTAATAAAATGGTCAGCTTTCCGGATACTTTATCCTATGTTTCTTGACAGGATTACGAAAATTTGTGTCCTGTTTATGAGACAGCGATAAAGTTCTACTTCCAGCAAGCGTGCTGCTTTTACATTGTACCCTAAACTTTTGTTGACTATTCTTCTGGAGTTATTAACAAACTTGTTGCCTACACAAAAGAGCCGTTTTACTTACAGAGTACGGAGTGGAGGGTTTCGGTGTGGCTCTCTCCCATCCTTGAATTCCACGACCGACGGTTTCGCTTTTGTTTGGACTCATCAGGTAGAGATAGCCGAGCTGGGAGTGGAACTCGGCGTATAGTGCTTGGCAGGCATCGCCATGATCACTATGCTATTGAGCTCTGCGAGCAGTGTTTGACACAGCGGAGTGATTGATTCGCGGTTGAAATTACCCGCAATACGGGCTAGGTCAGATGATGAATAAGCACTGCAGTCAGGATGAGGGTTGATTTGTTAAATGCGCCATGGAAAACCCAGAATCCAAAGTGTCATTTTATAATGAAGATGGTTATGCATGATTAAGTAAGGTTAGCTTTGGGGTGGTGCTTTGGTATTAACACAATTACTTCCTCATTCTAGTTAGGTAGTAAACTTATCAGTAAAAGCACTTCCAAATCGGGATAGGTTGACTTGCAAAATAGCTTAGCACACTAGATGGTTTCGATATATATATGGAATAATGACAAGAGGGAAGCATCGGTGTGGCATACACCGGTCAACCTTAAACACAGCAACCAAACAGCAGGCTCCTGCCACCAGCGGACCTGACGACCTCTACGTTGTTGCGATAACACAAACCATCCACATTGTTTGACAACATGGGCGGTAATATACTTGGTTTATTTAATCATAAGATCTAATTCATTTTAAGGTACATAGCAGCTGCAGTGAGTATTGGAAACTAATATGCCGACGACGCGCCATTGTCCGAATTCTCAGGCCCCGCCAATGCAGTGCATAATATCGGTTTTGTGCTGTTCTCGAAAATAAGTCGAATACAAATTGTTCAGGCAATTTCTAGTGGCTTATCAATTCCTCGGGAAATTTCTTTTTCAATATTGCTTGTTTCCAGGTGTCTGTCGGTCAGAGATTTAAGAGCCGAACGCAGCTGTGGTGCAATGTGGTTTCTTGCGAAATTTCCTCGATCTAGCAACTGAAGTTGTAGTCCGAAAGCAGTTGTAGAGTTCTATTGTCAGCGCAGTGGAAGACATAATTTGCGATATGTCAACATTTCCATGGTTCTCATCAGTCGCTTGCATAATTAAAATGGAATTCATAGACAGCTATATCCAGGGGAAAATTAGCACACCAATCAAAACGTCAAAATCAAAACCGCGGTAAACTAATTGCTTGTCTCAGCGCACACTTCATCACAAGTCAATTTGGGGTGGGCAGTACCTCCACTTTTCCAGATTTGCCCCGGTAGCATACAAACGTGCCATAGTGAAAACGCTGTTCTACAGAGCCAGACGGATATACCGTCCCGAAGTGTTGCAAGCTGAAGAAGAATTTTTGTTCAAAAATTAGTGTCAAATGCATATCCTAGAAAGTTCTTTCCGATCCCCAGCAGACCTCCCAAGAAGAAAATACTGGTGTTAACAGCAGAGAAAAAGGAATGCTTATTTGTTATTGCCGTTCAAAGAGGCCATGTATCAAATGATATCGGACTTAAAAACCGGTCCGCCCTTACGCGCAACTACGCGACCACCCAGTTGCAACTCACACATACAACGCGTAGCCTTGCTCTTCATAACCGTCAGAGCAACTCATCAGTCAGCTCGTCCTCTCCCGTCGTTTATCAGTTCACCTGCGGTTGCGGTGACATATACATAGGTAGGACTGACCGTCAGCTATCTCAGAGGGTAGATGAACATGTGCCGAGGTGGTTGGAACAACTGATGGTGCAACAAAACGGAGTGGATCCGGGGATGAACCGGAGCCCAGCATCATCTATCCCCAAGCATCTCTTAGCAACTCGAGATCAGGTGAACCCGGAGACTGCATCCAAGAGGTTATTACGCAACAACCATCCGATAATCTTGGCAATTAGTGGGGCTTTGCTAATTATGGCTTATCAACCTGTGTTGTGTGCTCAGAATTTATTGAAACAATCGATTACGTTACCGTGGTTTTGATGTTGAAATTTTGATTGATGTGCTAATTTTACCTGTATATAACTGTCTATGAATTCCGCTTGTATTGTGTTTGCGCTTGAGGAGGACAATCGAAATGCAGACATATGGCAACTTATGTTTTCTCACTGCTCTAAAGAAATGGCTGAAGGGGACCGACTGTTTTGCCTTTCTGAATTCTATTGTGTATAGCAGGTAAGGCTTGCATCTCTGTGGTGATTTAACGGAGTTAAAGCTAGGATACACAAATTGCGTCTATTTTTGGTGCGAGTCGGATATGCGAGCAAAGGTTTTGCAACAATTGTCAATAGAATAGACACGCATGCATATTTTAACAATTGTAAGGGAGAATTATTAACACCCAGCTATGGTAAGGGCTCATAAAATCATGCTACCACCGTCACACATCATACTAATTTTAGTGAAAAACTTTGTGAAATTAATGGACTAAATATCACCAGCGTACTGATATCAACGTCATAAAATTCCCAAGACATCAAGGCAAAAAGACAAAGGATGGCTTTTGTGGGTCTTCAGGCACGAGGTTGTTCATCCGCTCTCCGTTAGATAGCCGCTCCCAGATGTAGGGGTGTGGGGTCAGTGCCACTGTAGCCGGAACTTTCCATCCATTCAGCTGACTCACACCTCCTCCATTTTGTTATTGTTACTCATGTGTTGTGGCAAGCCGCCAAATATTTATTGGGCAGATATCATATATATATATATATACGTATATGTATGTATGTATATGTATGTATAGGTATACAGATATATATATATACCCTTGCTCAGGCTAATGTTGCATTCATGATGCTTCTTCACCGCAGTTGGGCTAAACCAACTTACACTTAAACTAGGTCTTTTTATGTGGATAAACTCCATTACATGTTATTTAGTTTGTTCTGCGTACTTGACAATCTTCTCCTTAGTTGCACACGTTGCTCACGCAAATTGTGGTAAACTTGCGTAATTTTATCGCGTGGTATTTTTTTAACTAACTTTCGGACATCTTGTACTTATCACGGATTCGCTTATAACCAATTTATTCTATATGCTCATTTAGCGAGTATTTATGTCGTCATATGTGCTTACTTTAATCGATTTCGGCATTTCGAACGATTGGCTGTTGTTTGATATCCCCGGTGTGTCTGCGCTTGATGTGCATGTTGACAAGGTGCCTACCTGTCTATTACCCACTACCTCGTCCATACTGGCTCCAGAAGACAGTTGGTCGTTGCTGGAGGGGTCTGGGTGAACGGTCCTTGTGGCCGTGCTAGGCTCTAAGAGCTGCTCCATGCACTCAGTGTGGAGCGGACTACGGTCCAGCCACCGCCTTGTGTGCGCTTGATTCCCAAATACAGCGTGCTTGTGTTTGCCTGTGAAGGAGTGTGGGCCGACTCCGTTGATGAAATATGGCTCCCATCCACATGCATCCCGGTCTTATTCCTTCGGGTTTACACTGGATATGGGGTGTGTGGTTGGAGCTGTGGGTGGTGCAGCGCAAGCCATCCATGGTTCCTTTGTAGGCGCAGGCGTTCTGTGGCTGGCCACAGTGACATGCAAATCCGAAACCGGATGCCGACAACCATACGTATGTATATATAAAGATGGCCGTTTCAACAATTCGCTGCAGGGTGCTGGGAAACAAGCTTGAAGTACTGCTTGCTTGCTAACATTTTAAGAAGGGATAAACACAGCAATGCAGATCTAGTGGAAGACATGCGGAAGAGTTATCCAAATTTGGAAATAACATAGAAAATTAATCTTTTTTCAGTGTGACCTTGCTTTCCATCTTTGAGATTACGTTATGGCTAAGGATGAACATAGCGAAAGTTTAGACCAAGAAATATCGATGATAGAACAACGTTACTGTGGGAATTGGCCATCTATCATGTTGGCTGAATGCTGCTGGACAGTCACCAGAAATGCTCTTATGAACAGGCAAGGAAACCGATGAAGTACCCTAGGACCTAATTTTGGTTTAAATGTATTAATCTTATTCCAGAAAATCCTTTGTTATGTATTTAGCTGTGTGATCGGTTACTGTGGAGTACAAAGAACCTAGACCCAATCTTGAAATGTGACCCATATTTGTGTTCAGCACACACAGTGTAAGACTTGCCTAATTTTAGTTTAGTAGTATGACCTAGGTAAACATTCTGTCCAGTGCAATCACCGTTCATTGGCTTTATAATGGTCTAATCTATAATGAGCTTAGGCTAGTTTTCCCTCCATTTACAGGTTCGTTTGTCGATACCATCGACAGTAGAGAGCCAAGAAATCTTGTGCGGTGGAACGTTAATTGGTCCTCAGTGGATTGTCACCGCTGCGCATTGCGTCACCGAATGGATGGATAAGAACTCGCTTATGGAACCGAAAGAGGACGCCGAAGTTGATGATGACTCTATATCTGCATTTGTGGGTGACCTTGACATCCAAACGGGAGAAGAGTATTTTCAGGTATACGTGATACAAAGGGTAATCTTGCACCCGGCTTTTCAACCGGGTAGAGAGAACAACGGTGCCGACATCGCATTGCTGTACATGAAAGAGCCAGTTGCAGATTGTAAGTCTCAACTTGATTTGAATTCATCATGAGATGAGGCTGGGTAAACAAAATTAGCGTAGGCGACGCCTTTGCACGATGTTTACTTCAAAAGACACGGTTGCCGAGTGTTCTAGTTACTTTTATACTCATAAATATTTGATTTGTATGTCGGTTCCGATGATTCCTAAAATATGTTTATCCGGAAGCTACCTTCTTGGTCGCTTTTCACTTGAAGATACAATGTCTGGCGTACTTCATGGTGACATAAATCAGTTGCAAATCCTGTGGTCTATAAAAGTCAGCTAATGTTAATTATGCCTTGTGTATAGAACCACTGGCAATTCATTTTCATGGTTGGGCGATTGACCGCAAATACAGCAGCATGGCAGCAGCAATTTTTTAAGAAGTAGACACTGTTCGCCCATCAGTTTTATTTAAACTAAACATAGGCATAAGGAAGATAATTTATTATTTTTAATGCTTACTTATTATTGAAATTGGGCCTCTTGTGCTCTGAATCGACAGCGAAAATGTTACTACTTCTCTCATTGTAGGTGTCAGATTTCGGTTTCTCGAATCAATGGATGATGGAGATGCATTATTAAATGCAAGCCATGCATACGGCAGTGGCATGTTTAATGCCGATGTAAATGGACCCAAGTGCTTTGTAATGGCATTTGACTTCAAGGATTGCGCTCGTGGTATAGAGGCTTCGGCGATGGCGCACTCACGATATTTGTTGAGGTGGTAACAGCTATAACAATTGGGATAGGTGGGATACATTGCCTGCTACTTGAGTTCCTACGCACAAAGGTTCAGAGCAACTGTGTGGAAGATGTATCGGGAAAGCATTAGGGGTAGGCGTCTATAGGTTGAGAGGAAAGCCAGGGCTAAGATAGGTGAAGAAGTGGATCGAGGTAAAATTATAGGTAGGCGTCATAGCCAGAAACTTGAGGTCTTACGTACAAAGTGCGGAGCTACATTTTGATAGATAATTCGTCGGAGGACCGTATATTGGAGTTGCTTAGGGGGAGAGGAAAGCCAGAGCCCAAATTTTAAGAGAAGCAGTAGGGATATGCGATAAATAAAAGCTGGATTAAAAGAGAATATTGAAAGATGTTTTGGTTCCTAGGGCAACAACAATAAGAAAGCACTGTCACCTTCGCGTTAAGGATGTAAGTGGGAAACAGTAGTAATTGCGGAGCTATATTGCGCTCGGTAATTCGTCGAAGCCTTAGATACAGGTGGTCCATAATTTGACAGTAAACCCAGGGTAAAAGCGATAAGTGGAGGTGTAGTACGTGAAAAGATTGTATGTAGACGTCAGAGCGAGAGTTTTCAGGTCTTTCGCACAAATGTGCGGAGCTACAGCGTGAGAAATAAGTCATTGGAGGACGGTATACACCAGTTGCCTAGGAGGAGAGAAACGCCAGAGCAAAACATGTAAGAAAAGCGGTAGGACTATGCAACAGATGTAAGCGAGATTATAAAAGAACTTTCGATGATGCTAAGGTTTATAGGGTAAAAAATTAGAGACTGTGCGTCTTCGACTTTTTGTTGCTTATTTTGACATATACCTATTATTCATTGGAACAGTTAGGTGCGTGGTCTCGATGGTTTGACGTGCTATACTTTAAGGCTCTTAGATCATTTATACAGCAAGCAGTGTTCCTGGAACACTAAGTATGAAGCTGTGCTATTACGTAATGACTAACAAAAATAGAATAAAATTAAAGACACCCGAGCCAAAATACGGGGCAAACATAGCAGTACTCATTCCAATGACCGCAGTTGCTATCGATCACAGCTCTGCCTCATGAACCGCAAAACGCGGTTAAGACAAACAAAGAGTCTGCTGCTAAAGACAACCTAGATAAACTGTGCCCCTGCAGTGTTCTTCTTATAGACCCACTGAAAAATGCACCAAACAAAATCAGTGCACTTTCAACTGAAATAGCTGCCCTTAAAAATGAAATGGCCGTTACCAAAACAGACCTAGCAGAACTTATGCCATTGCCCTAACTCGCAGATATGAGGAAAAATGACAACACTGTTGAACTCAAATATGCCGGATCCCCTCTTACTACAATCACTAATGAGATAAACGAGCGCGCCCGTCGTGTCCAAAACGTGATCATCCTCATCGTCTCTGACAAACGTCCTTTGGAGAAAGTCATCCGCTTACTTACGTCTATGTTTAACATCCCTCCTGGTACGTGCGCGAGTAAACGGCTCAGTAAATCGAAGATCAGTCGTAATTGCCGTAATCTTATTGCCTTCAAACTTAAGAACTGGCTATACGCTCCACAGCAATTGGATTTATCTTACGAACAAATGCAAATATTGGGCCTATATTTCTTATGCCTTGTCTAACCCCGCTGCAAAGAGCTTCCCTACTGGATGCTAATAGCAAAGTAAGACTACCGAAACCTGATTCATCGCCAAGTGCCAGAGCTGCCGCTAGCTCTACGACAAGCACTAACGTTGATCTGGACCTGACTTTGCTGCTTCACGCGTCCACTACAGCGTTACATACTGACGCCAGCACCACAGCCATTACAGATAAAAGTCAACCAACGTTCCGGATTCATCTTAGCTAACGATACAAAAAGCTGCGTCCATGCATACCGCCTCCGACATGAGTGACACAGATTCCGAACCGATCAACGTAGGCTTCCCGCTGATCAACCGCTTCACTCCCCCATGCAATGCCGCAACCGCCCTCGCACCCCAACAGACTACTAACAAAGGTCAACAGACGAAACACCGCACACCTCGTGTTACGAAACACTCCCGCTGATGCATCACCTCAACAATTATACTCCGACCCAAGCAATGTTCTCGTGGCATAAGCGGATAGCTGCCAAGCACCAAGAAACATCTGTACCAATGGACCACATGAAGCCGAAATCATTCCAAACACAAACATCGCCCTCCATACAGGTTTTGACCCGACCCGCCCAATCAACGCGCAAGGGATACCTACACGAGGTGCCCAACAATGATATAAAGTCCCAGAGCTATAACAAATGCCGCGGTTTTCACAAACTGAGGACGTTCTAACCTTCACCACAGCAAAATGGAACTATGAGCAGCCCGCGCAGCATCAACGCAATGATTCCCCTAATAACTAACAGGACTGCCTATTCGCATGGTGCGATGTCGCCCAGTCGGTCATACAAAAAGCGCTAGGCCATCCAAACGTCAAGTGCACAACCCCGTTACCCATCTCCACAACCTCTCGAAACACAGGGAAACAATGCACCATCCCACGGACGACGCCCTTCTGAAACTCTCTTCCACTTCCATTTACCCTGCGCCAATTGCACACTATTGCGCAACTTACCTCACACAATCTAACTCCTTTAAATCTCCTTGCGTCAAACCACACAGCATGCTGCTTATTAACGCGCGATCTATCACACTCAAGATGCACCCCATTGGCGCATTTATTCTAATCTCATATGCGCAGCTGGTTCTCATCGCAGAAAGAGAGCAAGCCTCGAATGCCTCTGACAACCTACTACGCATCTCTGGTTACACCACATTTTGTAACGGACGAGACAACCAGCGGGGTGGCGGTTGCCTTTCCTACGTCCGGGACGACTTTGGTACACCCGATTTTGAACTATTATCTATAGGGGACTCTTAGGACTCCCTTTGGATCCAGATAACAGGAAGCCAACTTGATTGCCTTATTGGTTGTGTATAAAATCCTTCCCGCATATCTAGCGAAAAGATTAATAAACTTAATTAGCTTTTCACTGAAATGTCCCTAATGCCTCCACGTCACCAGATAGTGGGTGTCGATTTCAATATGCCACTTATTCTCTGGTACGTCCAGCTTGCCCCACTCAGATACAGAAGTTTCGTTGGCAACATCCACGCAAACATTTGGACCCAACAAGTTCACCATCACACCGGGATTTCTAACAACCTAGACTTAATTTTTACACAAGTTGTCTCCCATGCAGCCACAGGTATACCAGGCAACATACATGGTTGCGACCACAAGGTTAAGCAATATTGCATGTAAATATTGATCATGCCTTACTTGGTGTGTCTCGACAAATACGAGAATAAGCTATTTATTTATTTATTTTTTTACAATATCTAACCCACACTGCGACATTTCTTCTTCTGTCAAACAGTTTCGAATGTTCAACCACATTAACTGGGACAGCCTTACGATATTAGTGCTATCTGTGAACTGGGACAACTTCTTTCTAGCCACTGATGTACACGCAGCCGCATATGTACTACATCTACATTTCTCTAGCTGCCAAGATGTGATCGCACCACTCACTTGCAGAAGCCGCTTAAAGAATGCTGAGTAATCAGCCAAGCCCATGGAAGATCAAAATATGCGCCATCAATATTCCAAAACTACGGAATCCTACATTCTTATTCGCATGAACGAACTCTTAACCAACTGGCAAACTGCGCAGGAATCCACCAAGATTACCGAAGAAGATGCTGCCCTCAAATCTAACACTAAAACCGTCACTCAGACAAATACTCTGACGAAGAAGCAATCATAAAGCTACGCGTTGCCTCATCGAGACTTTCTGACACATCCGTTATTAGCGATCCATCAAAAATATGTGAGACCCTCAACGGATACTTCTGCAATTCTTTCACTGACGCTGACGGAACCCTAACAGCTATGTCATCCAAGAGCACCAATGACTCACTCGACACTATTATGTTTGACGTACGTTCTATCACTCAAATGATCAGCTCAGTCAAGTGGTCATCACATCCTGATCTCGATGGTCTCCCATTTACACTGCTGATACTCGGCGGCATGGACATTCCAGATCTGCTTCTCAACCTATTCACGCTTTCCATGACAACTGGGATTTATCCAGCCACATAGAAACATGCCACCGTCATCCCCAAACACAAAAAGGCAGTCAGCAGAACATGGTAAACTATCGGCCCATCAGCCACACGCCTATGGCTTCAACTGTAATGGAGCGAATAGTGAGAGAAACCATGCTCACCTTCCTGCTTAATCGTAACCTCGTCAATCGACAACAGCATGGAT